CCCACCAGCACTTCCCAGGAAGACTGTCATCTCTCAAGGTGGAGTGCTCACGAGCCCTGAACCACGAGTGGACTGTCAAGAAAAACAAAGGAAAAAAGATTAACACACTTGCCTAAAGTGCAATGGAGGTGGGACTGCACTTAGGGCATACTCACACTATAACTTTTCTAACCTCAACACCCAGCTGCTCATGGTGTTTTAAGATTAGTTTTGGAAATGAATGGAGAAGTGGTGGAACGTGCAGACCGCCACAAAGTTCAGACTATATCATCATCCCAAGCAGAGATGTCTGGCGTGTAGTTGTTGAGGGGCGCAGCGCACATATCAACACATGACTTCCCTGCTGATTGGACGCACCGACACATTCATTATCATTATTTTGCTTACGTTCAGGTAATAGAAAACTCAAAAAATGAAGTCCATGAGTTTGAAATCTCACTACTGTTAAAATGTCCGGTCTTTGCGTTAGCCGGACCCCCACCGGCAGCTCCACCCCATCTCGCTGTTGGGGCGGGGGCCAACATGATTTACCTCGTTTGTGAGGCCCTATGCTTGCAGGGGTCCCCTCTATATAGTCTTAGGAGTAGTGGTAGGAAGGTAGTGAAAGGCAAAAAGAATTTGAGAGAAGAACATAGTGGAGTTTTCCCCAAAAAAAATTGAAATCCCACTACAGTAATCCCAATAAAAAGAGATAGGGAGGTGATTGCAGTCAGATTCATCCATTTTGGTCTGGCCATAATTGCAGCTAGATACCTTAAAAAAAACGAGTATGCCCTTTTTTTTTTCTGCCCTTTGACAATCCACAGCCTGTAACGGAAGAGAGGTGAAAGAGCAAGCGGCCTAGCTAAGTAGGTTAGGCAGGCAAGTGGCATTTAGGAGGTCGTGGGTTCAATCCCGACTGACCAAGTCCCGCATGACCGGGCTATAATACCACCGATGGGGGTCATGTGTTACTTGGAGCAAAGTGTACGGTGATTGCCAGTGTCCGTGTGGTGTTTTGTGTGGTGTGCGTTGAGTGTGGACACTGTAGCCTTGCACGGGTGAGGCGGATATCACGGTCGGTATGATTCTGCTTTTCGAACAACGTGTCCTGGCTGTAGTGGCTACGATACTTGGCTCTTGAGACCGAGGGCGCCGGTTCGAATCCGTACTTGCACGGAGGAGGGATGAGGCCCAGAAGTACTAATACAAATGACACCTGCGGCGTTCTTGGTGCCAACCAACTGAGATAGTTGGCTTGCTCCCGCCCTTCGGTATTGGTAGGGTCTTTGACCATCATGGGTGTGCATGTGTGTGTGCGTTGCGTGTGGTGTGTGGGAGAGTGCTGGTCATAGAGACTGCTGTTACTTGATGGGGGCGGGGGAAGTAGATGGGAGGCACAACTACTGGCAAAATGCTTAGACTCTTGAATTAGCCGGCCCCACTCACCAGCGGCCCCACCCTACTCCCTGACCACTGCCAATTAGGGTGGGGGGAAACATGTGTCCCCTTAATTGTGAGAGATAGTTATGCTTGCAGGGGTCCCATGTATAGCCTTAGGAGTAGTGGTAGGTAAGTAGTGAAAGGTGAAATCGAGAGAAAAATATGGCTTACTTTTTTAGAGAGAGGGGGTGGGGGGAAGGGGTGAAATGAAATTAGGACCTTACCCCAAAGGTTCATCAGAATGTACCATGACACCCATGTGTAATGAACCCAGTCAGGAGAGGAAACTCGTCAAGTGTCGAAATACAAGATGATTCAGCGCTGATAGATGTCTCCAATAATCATGAAATGTGATCTGTAATACAATGTCTTGTAAGTTGTAACCATAGGACGAAGTTGATAGGAGGGAGAATAGACTTAGAGGGTGGAGGAGAACGTTTTATCAATGTCCTTGTAGATAGATGCCCCTCAATCCCCACTCCTTCTTCGGGCATCTCCCCACGTCCACGTCAGCAAATAGTATCCCAGTAACGAGTCTGACAAGATCTGATCGCAGCATAGTGGCACGTAGGCACAAATCTTCCATGAAGACGTCACTGCAGCAATGTCGACAGCATCAACAGGTAAATTTCCCTCTCTCTCTCACTCAATCAATCCACAGTTCCTGATCTCCCTCCTTATCATTCCCAATCTGTGTCGAAGACAGTGTGGCAAGTGCCACGCCAGTAATGTTGAAGACAGCGTGGCAGATGCCACGTTGGCAACCCAACAGACAGCTGCCGCCCGAAAGCAGAGAGGCACCAGACGCAATGCAGCAGTCTCGCGTCGTCGTCGCACAATGCCAGCGTCTTGCCAGCATCAAGCCAGCATCCAGCCAGTGTCGTGCCAGCGTCAAGCAGCAAGTGCAATACTGAATGTCGACTCCCAGGGTCAGGGTCAATAAATAATGTTGACGCCGTTGACCAGCCTCTGGTCTCTCGCGTACAAGGGCTCAGATTGACTCACAGCCGACGACCTGGATCGCGTACAGTTACAGACTTCCACTTGGACCAAATGCTGCCTGGATACCTGCGTACAGCCAGGTATGTGTGTCTGATCGGTGGCCTGGACTGGGTCCGTGAAGACTTTGACTCATGAGCCTCACTATTTCGAGTTACAGTTGACTTCAGTCAACTGTCGGGTGCAGGGCCTCAGAAGCCTCGTTTCAGGGGCCTTGTTTCACACAGTCGGACGCAGGGCCTTGAGGTCGAACTGTGGCCTGCGGGTGGCCCCCTTGGCCAATGACATAGGCATATTTGAGCGGATTATTGCATATGGAACTGTTTTCTTTTTCTCTCTCTCTTTTCTTCTATGGATCTTGGGCCCTGCTGTCCCTGCATTCTTGCCAAAAAAGGAAATTGACTCCTCCCCTCCTGCCACAAACCTCATGCCACATCTGTCGTAGCGGAGTTTCTCCACAAACCACTCTGCCACAGGCTTCAGCAATTTAGGATTGAGGATTTAAAGAATTGAGGTTCAGCAATTTAGGGTCCAGACTGCCGCTGCTGTAATAATGGTGTAATGGTTTCGGTGTAATGGTTTTGGTGTAATGGTTTCGGTGTAATGGTTTCGGTGTAATGTTAAACCACCAGTAAGTCAGGAGCTGACAAACCACTCCGCCACAGGCTTCAAAGAGACTGCAAGGGCTTTGGATTGAGGATTTAAAGAATTGAGGTTCAGCAATTTAGGGTCCGCCCTGCTGCTGCTTTAATAATGGTGTAATGGTTTAGGTGTAATGTTAAACCACCAGTAAGTCAGGCCAGCTCCCTGCCCCGGTACACAAGGGGGTCGTGGTCAGGTTCCCCAGCTCCCTGACCTGAAAGCCGAAACGGACCCGGTACATATAATCTTGTGACAGTTCAACATGCCAGGGGCTGGCAAAATCAAGCCTCGGAAAAGAGGCTCTCAGATGTGCTGATGCTTAAACCACCAGTACCTTTCCCATATGTCGGCTGCAGGTGGTGCCGGAGGCCCAAAACCAAAAGCAGGCCGCCGATTCGATTGATCAAAGGCTGGCCTCCCCGGCTTGGCTACCGCATTACCCGGCGCGTCTTAGATTTCAAGCGGGGAACGGTACTGGTGGTTTAAAAAAACCACCAGTGCACTGTAGCCCTTCCAGGATCACGCTGGTGAGCAACCGGGGGGCCCGTGCCGGTTCACAACGGGGTAAGGGCATGTAGCTTGTACTGGACCAAATAAACTATTGGCCCCCGTAGTCCTGACTCCTAAATGGTGCAGATGTCCACGGTTGGGTAGAAAATGAGGTTTTGCAAAAGAACAGCACCCCTCAATGTTCATGACAAAGTAGCTATTGTACCATTAGGTGTATCATCAATCTTGGTGAAGCACTGTATAAACCGCTATATTCAAACAGACCATCATATGATGACATTCCATTCACATACAGTATCAAATGATGGTGTTCTCTGCCCCCTTGTCTTGTTCCCACTCCATCACCCGCCTTCCCCTCCCTCCTTTTCTCACTCCCATGTTCACGCATGTGCATGCAGACCTCTACCTCCATACACTCACAGTGAAGGCAGGCAGCTCCTTCTACACATGCCACAGCTACTGAGCCAGCCTCCCCCGCCCCAACCCCACCCCCCCTCCTCTCTCTCTCTCTCTCTCTCTCTCTCTCTCTCTCTCTCTCTCTCTCTCTCTCTCTCTCTCTCTCTCTCTGTGCGCTCATATGCCACAGACCCCTTGATCAACCATTCAAAATGCATATGACATCTAAGTTTTCCACAGACTGCTTAATTAACAATTCACTCAGGCAAATGCAACCTATCAATCAATCAATCAAGTGACCGGTTGATCAATCAGTCAATCAACCGGTTGATCCATCAATAAATCTATCAGTCAGTCAGTCAGTCAATCAACCAACCAGTCGGTTCAATCCATCGGTTGGCCAATCAATTAATCAAACATGCAGAGATGATTTTCTGTGGCAGGAAGCTCGAATTCGTTTTTTTGTGGCTGAAACGATTCAAGCCATCATCCAAACAACCTACTAATCAATGATGGAGCGAGCAGGTTTGTCTGAGAATGTTCAAGATGCCTTAACAGTCATGAGACGGATTAATCACAGTCAAATCAAATCGAATCACAATCATTCACTCGAACCATTCGATCATTCGATCAACAGTCCACCAATCCAACGAATCAATCACCCAAAGAGTCAATAAATTAACCAGTAGCTGAGTCAATCAGAAGAATCAATCAATCAATAAATGCTTGATTTGCTTTCCGTCCCTCTTCTCCCTTTCCCCATTCCTTCTCCCTCTCACCTTCCTCTTACCCCTTCCATCCTCCTCCTTTTTCTCTCTATCACCAATCCCCTTTTCAACAGCGTGTTTTTTCTCTGAGCCCGCTCAATCCTCCTCCTCCTCCTCCACCTCCTGCTGCTCCTCCTTCCCTCACACTTGGCACCCTCCTTTGCTCACAACACAGGGGCGACGGAGGAGGGGTGATGAGGGGTTTCAGCGCGGGGAACATTCGGCCGTTTCCTGATGGCGAGGAGTATCGTTCCCTGTCGGCAGGTAATCCCCCGGAGGCAGATGCAGCGCAAAGCCCGATTCCACCAGGAGGATGGAAAACATCCAACGAGCGGACAAGCTCCACAAGGTTCCGACAAGAATCGTACACGACCACCGTCAGCAGCGACATCCCCACCCCACGCGTCAGCAACAGGACGAGGAAAAACCGGACGCTCATTCTTCCGCCAATCATCAAGACCAGGTATGCATGGACCCACAACCAAATCACCAACTCCCGCCAATTACACTACCAAACATTGTGAGAACACACACACGCACACGCACACACACACACACACACACACACACACACACACACACACACACACACACACACACACACACACACA